ATATAGAATGGTATTTTTTGTTTTACAAATATTAATCCACTATTAACATTCTATTATTATTTCATTCTTACCAATATCACTATTAAGACAAGGGGTTTTGGGCCTTGATCTGACAATAGAACTAAAATTGGAAGAAAATTTTTCTCTTGGTTGTATGCTACAATGTTCAACTTGAGCCACCTTTAATTTAGTTACACCTTTACGTTTTCGTAGTTTACCATTAGTTGACCCAGACATCAAACGATGTATTGAATGATCTGCAAATAGAGCATTTATAAATAATATTCTATAAAGAAAAAAAAATGAAATTTTTTAAGAAAAGTATCAATCTAACATGTTAAAAGAAAGTATTGTAAATAACCTGTTGTGTTTCCTAACACGTTCTTGAGTGGTCCAATTTTTCGTTTGTCAGTTTGATTTTGATGCGTATAAGAAGATTGGTAATTTTGTAAATATTGTTGTTTCAGTTGAGATGATTTCTGAATGGCGTTTCCGCTAAGATTTTTGTTTTCTTCTTGTATATCGTAATCTTTCCTTTTAATAGCAGTTTTTCTACGTTTTCTTTTTGGACCCCCACTTCGAGGTACTAACTTGATAGATTGCAAAGGCAAGACATCCCCATTCGAATAAGAATTTGAAGACTTATCAGATTGATTTTCTGGGAAATGGTTTATGCCTCTGAAGGTATAAAAAAATCAATTTAAGTAGTCAATCATTTTCAGAATTTAGTTTTAATTTTGAAATCTAAAAGTTAATAGTTAATTTTATACTCTATTTCATGCGCAATCAGCTCGGGCGTTTGAGTTCCAGCCACCTTGCCGGGTCTTTTTATGATTCGTGTCATTTCTGAATTTGCAATATGATCATTTATTTGATTAATCCGGCTGACATTTTGGGTAATGCCTCTCAAAACAACTCGTAAATCCTGCTTCTTCCTTTATTCTATCTTCATCTAAATAATATATAAGTATATATATATATAATTATATATATTTAATTACGTTATATAAAAGCCATTACCATTTGATTTAGGGCATAATAAAGATAGTTCATTTGAGTTCTTTTGTTTCTTTGACACGGTTGTACGAAAAGAACATTGAGATAAGACTTCATCAGATCTACAATTATATTTTCGATATATGATTAGATAAATATCTCAAAATTGATTGTACGTAAATCATTTCAGAGTAATTACTTACGAATATGAGTCAAAAGTTTCAGATATTGTTGGTAACTTTCTTTGAAGTGCCTCATTGTCTTCAGAAATATCGTAATCACCTAAGTTGCGAAATTTAAAAAATTGGCAATCTTCGACACGAATACTTTTATTTGTATCTGCCTGTATGATAGATTAGATTACATTACATATTATATCTTTGAAATTGATAGCTAGGATAAGTATAAATTTAAAGAAACCGAACCTTTTTAATAACGTTACTAGCGACAGGGTTTTTAAAAAAATCATATTTATGTTGTAAATTGAAAAGACAATTTTCACTAATTGTAAGATCCTTATTTAAAACCATGCCACTTTTTACAACGATTTTTCGTAAGATTTCCGCTTCCGCTTCTCGAGAATCTAAATGTTTTGCATCCTCTGTGAAGTTAGTTTGAGCATTTTCATGATTGACTTGTTGGTACGCTTGCCAAGCATGTTTCAATTGCCCGCGCAATGAATTACATCGATTTTCCGCATGCTGCAGCTCTTCCTGGATAGCTTAAATTTTAAGTTTTTCATTTAATTCGAAAATCACGTAATCGAACAATAAAATACTATTTGATTTCAATAATTTACCGGAAAGTCTAAAGTCTTGTGCCATTTTGCCCATGGTTTCATTTTCAACAAAATAGTCTTTAAAATACATATGATATTAAATTATATATTATATATATTTATATATACCAATTCTTACCTTTATAATTTGGTGCAATATTTCGTACACTTGATTTATCATGCATTCTTACTTAAAATTTAACATAAAATTAAAAATCTGAATAAAATATTTAAAATACGTTAATATTACAAAAAGTGTACATCAAAATTTATTTTGCACTTAAATGGCTTTTTGAAAAATATTAGAATGGCACTTTAGAAAAAATCATATTCATTTATTTTTTGGATATTCTATCATCCTAATATAAATAAAATTTTCTCAGATCATGTCACTAGATTTTCAATTTTTTATCAAGGAATTAAATAATGAACTAGTTGAGAGTGGCATTTAGCCTGAAGGCAAGTTTCATGAACTTTTCCAAATGTGTGAGAATTGACTTAATCAACCGAAATTGAGATTGAAACATTGCGATTTCCAACAGAATTTTCTCAAACACATTTAAATTATCTGTAATATTGCACAGACACATTTGAATTATCTTTATATTGCATAGACACGTGCTTGTATGCCCTAAAATTGTAGCTTATTATTTTAAATTTTAATGAATTGATAATGATTGACTCAACACATCACAAAAGCAACTTCTGACACAAATTTCGACTATATTTCCTCAAAATTCGATGAATTTTTAACATTAAACTATTTGTCGTAGGGCCGTAATATTTTACTATGTTTTATAAGACGGTTTTTGAATTTTCAAAATCGATTCAGAATTGCGGGCTAAAACATGGACGAAATTTTTTTCACTTTTCTGCTGTTTACAAAGAAACGGTTTGGCTGTTCGTCGTCAGGAGGTTAGTTACCGCTAGTCCTTATCGACATACATCGAATGGCTTTTAAATTTTTGAAATCGATCCAGCCGTTTTTGAGCAAACGTCGATTTATGGAAAAAATCTGTTTATGCACAAACACACACACAAATTTGGTCTCATTCGATTCAGAATGGCTTGAAACGTTGAGAAAACATAAAATTATCGAATTAATTTTTAATAGAATTAATAATAGCTTATTACACTTAATTTTATTTAAGAATATATATAAATACAAATTTTATCAAAAATATATTTAGTACTGACTTAAATTAAATGGTATGGCAAAAATGTGTGGACCACTCTGTGATGATATGAGTTCTACATTTACAATTCTTTTATAGCTTCCTTCAACATATAGATCATGAAAATCCCAAACCTCATTTCTGAAAATTAAATTTCAATTAAATCTCTATATATTTTTTCTACGAAGTACATTTATAATTTTTACTAACTGTTTTGTCCACATTTTAACTTCTCCATGTGTACTCCCAGTATATAATTTATTGGAACTTAGGTCATTACTCCATGTTATGCTGTTAATTGGACCAGTATGACCGGTCAATTTATATAAACAACTGCCTTTAGCTAAATCCCAAATATAAATTATTCCTTCCTCACCTAAATATTGAATTTTCATAAGAAATTAAAATTTAAAAGTTTAATTTTTTATCATGTAATATTCCTAAAATTTAATCTCATACAAAACTACTAACCAGCACCAGCTAGCATTTTCCCATCTGTGCTAAAAGCAATAGCATAAATTGGAGCAGATGGTTCATGCATTAAACGAAGAACTCCAGCATCAGTGATTGAAAACAATCTTACAGTAGTATCTTGAGAACCAGTTGCAATGTACTTGCCATTTTTATGAAAGGATACACACTAGTAAATAGATAAATGCTATATTCAGATACTAGAA